CACGACTCCTCCGCCATTGAAAGAACCACAGGCTATCACAACAGCAATTGCACAAACGAACAACAGCTCCCTGGTGAATCGTTTTATGATACAGGGTGAAATATAGACCATGAGCTGTCAGGTACTGAATTTCTTGTGGCTTAGCATTAAAGTGTTCTTAATGACATCCCCCCTGATATTCTCTGGTGAAAGCAATGTGCTTTAAATTCCATCTGTGGTGGTTGGATCGACCACGGCGTCCTTTAAGAGACTTGGGGTGTATCTACACAGTACATGCTCTCCAGTGCACACAAAATGTTCAGTCAGTTAGAAGAATTTTCCCGCCTCCACTAATTGGGAACAATGAAAACCAATTCAGGTTCTAAAGGGAAATGTTTGCCTCAAGTTCTTGAGGTTTTGGCTTTAGGAATGACAGAAGTCTCGTGGCAATTTAGCAGTTCAAGTATAGGATCTTTCCTCAATCGGAGCCATGATGTTTATTCTAGCTCCCATTTGGGAGACCCTACTAGGTTCCAGACACTGGCTAGATGCTTCACATGCATCCTTAACGCAGCAGTTGTCCTAAAACAGAACTATTTTTATCTTCACTTTGCAGATGCAGAAACTGGTAACTCAGGTCAGGAAATGGCAGAACGAGGATTTGAACCCACATCTGTCTGTCTACCCAGCCTACAATTTTTCCATTCTGCTGAAAGCTGGGAGGAACCTTAGGCAGTGTCTCATCCGCTGGTTTTCAAACCGGATTCTAAGGAACGCGAGGCTCTCCAGGAAGTGCTTTAGGAATCTTTGGGGAAGAACTGGGAAAGAGGACATGTGTTGGGAGGCCAGGTAAGTTGGGCTTGGCCCCAGTCATTGGATTCAAACAAAGAAGCTTCATTTCTATCTGTTTTATAGTGACTTTAAGTTTTGTTTGAAATAAGGGTTTTGCTACTAAAAAGTTATTTTAAAACTCTTGATCTAGGGGCTCCTAGGTGGCTCAGTCGGTTAAACATCCGACTCCTGGGGGCACCTGGGTGGCCCAGTCAGTTAAGCTTTTGACTTCAGCTCAGGTCATCATCTTGCAGTTCACAAGTTCGAGCCCTGCTTTGGGCTCTGTGCTCCAGCTCAGAGCCTGGAGCCTACTATGAATTCTGTGTCTCCCTCTCTCTCTGCACCACCTCCCCCACTCGTGCTCTGTCTCTCTTTTTAAAAAATAAATAAACATTAAAAAAATGAAAAAAAGAAGAAAACATCTGACTCTTGCTTTCAGCTCAGGTCATGATCTCGGAGTTTTGTGGGTTCAAGCCCCAATTTGAATTCTGTGCAGGCAGCATGGAGCCTGTCTGGGATCCTCTGTCCCTCTCTCTGACCCTCCCCCACTTGGGCTGTGTCTCGAAAATAAATAAATAAACTAAAAAAACCCAAAAAACAAAACCAACCTTCTTGATATAGTCTAACTTCCTCATGAAGAAGTCCAGAGAGATTAAATGTCTTGCCCCAAATTTTATAATAGGCCCAGCATTAACTTCAGATGTCCAAGCCCTTTCTGAAACCACTGGCCTCCCTGTACCCTTTATCTCTTCGCTTGTTAAACAGCAGGGCAAGTGAGAGATCATCTGACCTGACTGTCTTTCCTGACAGAATTCTTCATGAAAAACGGAAGGCAGAAAAACACCTTGGCTTCAGCAAGCTAGACCGTTTTTGGCCATTGGCTGTAAGTCTCAAGTCAGTCTATATTCACCTCGTGACAAATTAAAATCAAGTGAGGAATTAAATATGTAATTTGTCTGGATGGTTTAGGACCCTCTTCCCCTTCTCATTCAAATCAAAGTGAGTGGCAAAGGACGCTTTTGCATGAATCATCTTGTTAGTTATATAGGCTTGGCTTGAGGGCACTCTCTAGAAAACTGTTTACGTCCCCCTGTTTATTAATCTAGGCAAAAGCAACTCTTTCGAGGCGCCTGGGTCGCTCAGTTGGTTAAGTGTCTGACTCCTGGTTTTGGCTCGGGTCACGATCTCACGGTTCGTGGGTTCGAGCCCCACGTCGGGTTCTGTGCTGAGGGTGCTGAGCCTGCTTGGGATTCTCTCTCTCCCTCTCTCTCTGCCAGTCCCCGGCTTATGCGCATGTACACGTGAGTTCTCTCTAAATAAATAAATAAATAAATAAATAAACAAACATAAAAAAATAAAAATAAAAAAAAGCAACTCTTTTTACAAGAGACACGGTGTGTGTGGCAAAGACATTTTTCTTGGAGGGGCCAAATATAGCAAGGGAAAGTGAGCTCCTCCCTTCCCTCGGCAAGCGGAAAGACTCCCCACCTGGCCAGCTCCTCTACAGCTGCCCCAGCTGCACTCCACCTGGTCCCCAGCCTAGTAAGTCTCACTTCCCTGCCAGACCACACGATCCTTGAAACAAGCCAACTGTATCCCGCCCTGGAATCAAGGTACACTTCATCCTCTTGTTACTACAAAGCCTACCACACCCCCCCGGCCTCCCCCCCCCCCACACCCGCCCTAGCCTTTTCTGTTTCACTGTGTTCTCGAATGCAACCTCTGTGTGGCTCTACAGGCGTGTAGCGTCCGCCTCCCCTGGGCTGGTGGCCTATGTGATTGACAAACCGCTGTTGTTCCCACATGTGCAGTGTCGGACGTCCTGCGTCTGGTCATTCTAGAACCTCTTACCCACGGGGTGAAGAGGAGGTGAACAAAACAATGACCAGACATGAATACTGATACTAAATGGAATTTTGCAGAGAACTAATGCCAAATATCACATCCTTTGGAGTTTTGCTAAGTGTCAGGCTATTTGCAAATAGAAATGAGTTTTAACTGAAATTATGTCAGCCAGAACTGACCTTTATTAATTTCCAGGCCCCAGAGCTTTCCTGTCTGCTCTTTTTAATTTTTATCGTTCTCACCTGGAGATTTTTGGGAGTAACAGCATTGTTCTCTTTCCTGAGAGGACTTTAGCCCTGCCTGAAGGCAAAAGAATAAAAAGATGACCCTTCCATTCCTGTCACTTAAATCTCTACTAACTGCATTCTTTCTGTAAAATGTAGCAGAAAGAATTTTTCCCATCTCCACAGCCGAAGAGATTAAAATAAACAGCTCTTTTTTCCCTCCATTTGAAACATTCCAATATTAATATATTTCCAAATTCTGAGCCCTAGAAACAAAGCTTTAGATGTAATTTCTTTTCCTATTCATGAGATTTACAATAGGAAGGTCGTGTTTGTACTAGATTTTGGTTTGAAATTAATCTTCTTTTCTCCTCGGCATTTCTATAGAATCCAGGCACTTCATTATTTCACAGTCATTTCCAAATATTAAATGCTTGTCATTCTTGAGCAACGATCTAATCTTCCCTTTATGGGTGGAGAAACAAAAATTGTGGAACTTGCAAATCATTGCCAGGGCATAGATCACTCTAAAGGTTATGGCTACCCATTGACTTTCTTTCCTCCACACATTCTTTGACTACAAAGTAAAACTGTAAATTGTTCCCTGAGCATCATGTATGGCATCCTCTGACTATTAGGATGTATTAACGAAGAGCTCATTTGCATTCTGCCTTACAAGAGACACTTTATGGAGTAAATAAATATATTCGAACTCCACAGCCAACCTCAACGCTGAGGCTGTGCTATATCATCACACCCCCTTTTCTGGCCTGTGCCTCGTACAGATCAGAATATATTCTCGGTTCAGTTGAACAAGGGTTCATTTAACCCACATCTGCTGCTCATCAAACCTCTATTTTAGGAGCGGGGAGTTCTTTTTCAGAGATAGATTCTGTCTGGAAGGTCTACGGCGGCAAATAGTCCTCATTAAATTTCACAACATTTTACCAACAAATATACAGTACCCGCTTTTATGTGATTATAGAACCCAGGCAAAACCCAGCACCCCCACTTCAAAGGATTCCTCACTTGACTAATTCTAAAGAGTAAATTGATTTTCTCATCATTTGTTGTATTTGACAATAGAAAAGCTGACGCAGCAACATTGCTAACATAACAGCTCATTTCTATTCAAGGGGAAGGAATTTGCGTTAATATTCTTAATGACTGGCATCTTTATGAGAAATGTGAAATCATTTATCCTTAGCAGTAACCTGACTAGGATTAAAAAGTACTTGGTACTTAGAACGGAAGTCATCTGTCAGGAAAAATTATTTAGACTGATGCAAATTAACTGAATAAATTGGCTTCCTAATTATGGTGTATATATTCAAGTTTGTTAAAACCGGTTTGAACTAAAGCATTTGGAAAGGATCTTTCAAGAAGTGATCTGACATTCTGTTGGAGGAAAAGATAACACATTTATGTCACATTTCCTCAGGACTTCTGGAAATGATTTAAGAAGCCAGGACATGTAAATCAAAGGAGAACACATTAAGTAAGCATGTATGTGTCTTGCTTATTAGGAACGGCAATAATGCCTTACAGAAAACACCGAGTGGCGTGTGTGTGTTGTGGTGCCCTAGATTCCAAATCAGCAGTCGTGCTTTCCTGGGGGGTTGTTTCCACCCTGTCAAGGCTGGCTTGGGGGTGAGCCCAGGGGATGAAGCTAAGAGATGAGCACTTCGGCCAGCCCATAGCAAACAGTGTGCAGACCAGTCTGTGTTCTGTAGGACTTGTTCCACTTTGATACGCACAGTGTGCCGCACCAGTTAGCAAGTTTTTATTGGAAGCTCGGTCTTCTCTTCCTCGCCAGCTTCACAGTGAAACTTCATCTAGCTTTTTACCAAAAAAAAACACAAAAAACTAGTAAGTTGCGGGAAGAAGCACTTTACCAGCATTTGAGATTGAATTAGTCTGGGGGAGGAAAAAAGGCGTAAATTGCAGAAAAATGTAAACTGCTTTCACGTAATTAATGACCCGGTTTTACTGTTTAGCATTTATATGGAACTTTCTTTTGAGAGACAGAATTGATTTTTGGAGACTTGGGTCCAATTCCTAGCTCTACAGGTGTGTAATATTTTCATCTAGCTCTTTGCTTACAACTAGAATGACTAATATAGGAATAACAAAGTCTGAATGTGAATAGCAGCGTCTATCATGTGCTAAGTACTCAGTTATCATTCAGTTTCTCCTCCTTTTACTTTTTTTTCTGTTTTTAAAAGTTTATTTTGGGAGAGAACGAGAGTGAGCGTGAGAGGGGGAGGGGCAGAGAGAGAGAGGGAGAAAGAGAGAATCCCAAGCAGGCTCCACACTGTTGGCACAGAGCCCAATGCAGGGCTCAAACTCATGAACCAAGAGATCATGACTGGAGCTGAAACCAAGAGTCGGATGCGTAAGCAACTGAGCCACCCAGGCTCTCCTCCTCCCTTTTCTAACAGTCTTTTAGGGAGTTCGTGTCCTAAGCATGAGTTCAGTATTATTTGCCCTGGGCAAGTAAAAAATATATTCCTTCTTTCAGTAAGCATTAGTGAAAGGGTGACCCTATAAACAGCTGCTTAAGTTTCCGTGTTTAAATATGAATACTTAATTATGTAAAGGAAAACAATAGGGTTCTCTCAAAAAAGGCAGTGCTTGATAATCATTAATAATAACACGAATGTTATTGTTGTGACTTCAGCCTGGGGGACAAACAGTTATTCAGGGGATTAGGTAAACTCAGGGAGTTCGGGTTTATGTTAGAAATCCCAAGAAAGCTTTTGCTAGAAAACAGTGGGTTAGAGAGACATAGAAAATATGAACAGAGGGAACATCATCCAAGAAATTCAGCATGTGCCAAATTCAGATTATCCCCTCCAGTCTTTTTGTGAACAGGCGGAGGAATAAATTGCGTATGCAAAAAACATATATGCCAGAGAGAGGAGCTGGGGCAAAGCGCAGGGGTGCAGATTGGGCTGAGAAAATGGAAGAAAAAGCAAGAGGTATGTGAGACAGAGCCCTGGACACAGCTAGTGCAGAGTATGCACTCTTTGGGAGATGCTGGTTAGACGATGTCCGGAGACCGAGACAGGAAAAAGTCTCGTTCTGCAGAATCTGCAAGTACCCATGCCTGGGGCTGGC